CAAAAAATGTGTGCACGAGTGTGCAGCGAGCGTGCATATACTTTTATCAGCAAGTACATGCTAAAAACTAAGTGGTAAACGAATTTTGGGCAAGAAATTCCACACAAAGTCGAAGAAAAAAATGAAGAAAAAACGTAGCAACAGCATCGGATAAAAGAAGCGAGTGGCATGCCACAAGCGAGCCAGCGGCAAGGAGCGCAGCACATGCAACAAACGACCTCAACTTGGAAACTGTGAAACTGTGGAATATGGAAATACATGTAATAAAATATGTATATGCACCATTTTGTATACGACGAGTCTGTCCAAATATTTAACCCTTTTATCTCTATCTCTCGCTCTCTCACACGCTCTCCCACTCTCTTCCACTCTCTTTACTCGCCTGCCCTGTGGTCCGGCCTGAGTTTTTGGTTTATTTTCTCAGGCTTGTTGCTGCTGCAGCGTTCTGCCCGTCATTTAGTGGCATAACGGCATATTAAAGTGGCCATCGATGGCGTTGCCGCAAAGCAATTTCTTTGTCGGTTGTCCACACACACACACATGCACACGCACACACACACACACACCTAGCCAGTGGAACAGTTCACCAGTTAGCCGGCAGCTCAACCATGGAACATCCTTCGAACTGTTGAATGATTTCATCAAATCCGCTGACGTTGAATTGATTTGATTTGATGTGCGCTTTGTGCAAATTTATTTGATGCAGTTTCATAAATGCGACCGGCCATAAAAAAATAAAAAAAAAATATAAAAAATGTTTTTTTTTTACTTTACTTCACTTTCACCCGAGTCAGCGCTCGAGCCTTTGCCATTTTCATTTCTATTTCTCGATGGCATAATTTTTCACGTTTCACAAAACGATTTTGCCCAGCAACGTTAGGGGCTGGGCGCTTGGGGGCGTGGCTGCGTGGTGCTGGGCGGCTTCTAAAAAGGTGAATCACACGCAGAGCATCAAAGCTCCGCCTGCTGCCCCTGCCCCTGCTCCTGCTGCTGCTCCTCCTTTAGCTCCACCTCCACTCTGCACATTTACACACTTGAACCTCTGCCAAGCACTCGAGGCGATAATCAGATTGCCAAGCTGGCATGCCCCTACCTCCTGCCTGCTACCTACCACCTTCTACCTAACCTATAGAGCACTCATCGCTGCCTTGTGTGGACTCACGTTTGTGTCTATGTGTGCGTGTTGGTGTGCGTGTTAATTGAACTGTTCGACGTGCATAGTCAGCGCTTGTTTTACAATTTGGCTGGATATGTGAGGCTTTAAAAGTTGCTGGCATCAATAACACCCACACACACACACAGGCAGCGAGAAAGAGAGAGAGACTCATCTCTTAAAGCTCATATATCAACCAAAAATTAAGTATACGTAGAGCTCAAGTTCTCGTGCTGACTTCTTTTTTTTGCGCTCGCCCCAAATTAATGCGATTATTTAATCATATATAATCCAGTGCACCGCGCTGCCAATTGATGCGGAAACTTTTCCACAAATTGTTGATTGCCATTTAATTGTGTACATGATTGTGGGCGTACCACTGTGCACAGTGTGTAATTCAATTAGGTAGTCCAAAAGGAAAAGAAGAAAAGTTTAAATTGAAAAACATACAACAACACAACAGGACGGCCATATAACATACGAATTGGCCAAAATTCTAGATTTGGTTTATCTTTTTGCCTCAATTATTAAAATGTTTGATTAAATATCAGAAAAATGTGAAATGTAATTGCTAGGCAAAGGGCATAACACACACAGAAATCAAATAGTTCAAAACTGAGCCCGAATAATTGCCAACTCTTCGAGCATGTGAAATGCCATTGTCCATTGAATTTTGTTAAGGGTTTTAGGCAATTAATTCTCATCATTTGCTTATTGCATATTGCATATTGAATGGGCGAGAGAGCTCCAGTCGAGATATGATATTATTCCAGCTATGCTCAGGCTCAGGCAATCGAATACGTCTAACGAGCAACTACTGTGAAATGCCACAAACAATTTTAAGTGGATTTATTGCCTAAATGTATTCTCCGTTCCATATATACATATTTATATATATATATATATATATATATATATATATATAAATATATATATATATATATATATATATGTATATATGTGTGTGTGTGTGCTCGCGCTGTCCTTGCTGCGTCCTTAAGCACATTGTAGCAGCATTCATTGAATTGTTGGCTTGAATTAAGAAGCCTCTTAGCTCAAATTTCATTAATTCTTGAGCTCAATTAATGGGCATTCCGAAACAGTAGTCACGCATGCACAATGATGTGGACAAGGACTGTTGGCAGTATGACTGGAGTGCAAATCTGGGACAAATGAAGGCTCTTGCCACTACGAGTTCGACGGAGATGCCTATGCCTGGAAGGCTTTCATGACTGTCATACAAACTCATGTTAGTGTGCTCATTTCATTACAGGGTATCTGTTGCCAACCAATATGCAATGCAATTCGCGTTGGGGAATTGTTAATGAAGCACAGATATAAGCTGCACAGTAGAGCTTCAGTTGCTCAGATTGAGACTCTGTGGCCTCTGTGGCCTGCCAAAGCGTCGGCATGTTCGCTGTAGATGGGAGGGTAGGCTGGCTGGGGGCTGCATGTCTAGTGGGACTGGCATATTAGAAAAACAATAATAGGTTGCGTGATAGGAATCTTGTCGCCTTGTCTCGTGCCAGCAGAACATCGATGCGAATGACTTTTGCATGTAACTGGCAGGAATTTAATACAGCCAACGACGCGTCATCGTGTGCGACGCGATAGGGTAGTCGGGCAACTCGACTGGCTTGCGACAAATGTGTGTGAGAACAGACTATGACTTGACTCGCACACACACACACACACATACACAGACACACACAAGCTGATAAACTCAAATTATATTTGTTGGCTTGAATTGGCCACAAGGTATGCGGCAGTTGGCTTTGAAGTTCAGCTATAGCGTTTTTCTGCTCAGCTGAGTGCGCGGCTGGAAAAGCAACCAAATATACAAATCACTGCTGAAGAGCACGAGGGGCGTGACTTGCGATTCGTGTGTTTAATCAGGCGGCATACCAACAGCTGGTAGGCGACGCTATAAATAGCGAATGACACGCCCACACGCCCACATACACACATACACTCACACAATCAGTTAATTAACTTGTTAGCTTGAAGCTGCTGCAGTATATTTCTGTCCATGTCCGGAATGATATTCAATTTGAGCATCAGAGCCAGGCCTGTTCCTGGTTTTCGACAGCAGTCGTCAATATAGCAAAAGTCAAAGTTAAATCTGAGTTTCTCTCTCTCTGCTTTTTGAGCTGGCTCAGCAAGTAATGTCCCCGGGGAGCCACTGGGCGGCTGACGTTGGCAATGCGATGACAATAAAATGCTTTCCCGGCCATGCAGCAGCAACAGCAACACCAACAGCAGCTTGTTGAGTGCCAAGTGCCAGGTCCGGGCATTCAGGCACCCTAGATGATATCGGGCAAGCTGTATTGAAATCGACAGCTAATGAAATGTTGCCCAAGATAGCAAACACGCATCTGCAGCAGACAGCGGACAGCGGGCAGCTGGCTACCCCATGGGAAGAAGCCGACGCCGCCCAAGGCGGGCTTAACTATGGTCAAGACATTTGAACCAGCTGCCCTTGTTGTTGTTGTTGCTGCTGTTCTTCCTTATGCTAAGTGCCATAAATTGTAATTACAAATGGCACAACACGGCTCTGATTCGAACTCAATGTCAAATAGGCCGTCACGTGTCGTATACGTAATATTAATAGTGTGAACTGTTGTTAATCCGTAAACACATTTCGGCCCACTTGGACATCTATCAGTTTGCAAGCCCATCTCAATTTGATAAGCATTGGGAATACATGAATAAATTTCAGCTGCTCTGAGACGAACTTCTTTAGCTGTTTAAAACTCAATATTTTCCTGCTCTGCTCTGAAAACCAAATTCAAACGTATTCCATATAAAAGAGTCAAATTCCTGCTGCAATTCAGGCATCATTTCGTGATTGTATTTTCAGCGTTCAGCTGTAGTAGGCTCTAGATACCCTGTAGTTAAATGTAGTATGCCACGCTCTTTTAAAGATTCAAGATGATAAGTCTCTACCTTAACTAACAGTTGCCTGAGCTGAGTAACTCAAGCGGTAAAGGAAACTTTTTTCAATAATTAATATTCAGTTTGTTCTCCCTTAATCTTAAAATATCAAGTATACGCCATGTCGTTCGACATTAAACAAACCCAAATAAATTAATTTAATTTAAAAATTATACAAATTTTTAGAATATTTTTTAAAAACTATTTTTATATCTAAAAACATACAACAATTTTAAAAATAAATATTAATAAATTTAAAGCGAAAAGCGCCTTTAAGACATGTGCAATATTAACAGGGTATTCCAATTACACACTGCGCCAGGACACACACACACACTCACAGACACACACAGTGCGATAATAAGCACAGAGAGTTTTTGGTAAAACGCAGACTTTGTTTTGGTTACATTTTGCGTATCTGGTCAGCTGGAATAACTAAAAATTTTACAATTTACATACATTAAAATTTTGTGAATTGTTTGCTTTAGTGCACGCATATGTGAGTGTCTGTGCGTGTGTGTGCATGTGTGTGTGTGTGTATCTGTATTGCATTATATGAGAACTCGCCGATATAAGCATTGCTGTTTAACAAAATCTCTGTTATTTTATGTTTAAAATTCTATTCATATGGAGCAGACCGAAACACCACCAAATGCAATTGGGATATACGGGGACGGGGAAGTTTCTTAATTCTGGATTGGGCAGTGTCAAGAGCGAGCAGGATAAGCACAGCGAGCAAGTGGGCGTGATTTGAGAGTGTGAGCAAGGCAAATATTCTAAAGAGGCGGAGGCAGAGGCAGAGGCCGAGGCCGAGGCAAGACAAAGACATGGTAAAAGGGTTTTTGATTTTTTTGGACACTAGGAACGCGCAGAGGGCTGCCTAATAACAATCAAGCATTATTACGTTACTTACGCGTATTATCTTCTGGTCTCGTATAATCTTTCGCACGCAGTTGACAATAAACGTGACGAACATGCCGCCCAGTATTAGGCCAAACACAATTATTATGATGACCACATGCTCCGATTGGCCAGGCGTTTCATTCTGCAAATGTAAGAATCAGAAAAGGCATGATAATAATAATAATAATGTCATATAAAATATGAACGTAACTGCAATAAAAACTTATGAATTCATGTTTCAAATTATACAACAGAGTTGAGATATGCAAATGGACATCATTGTATATTCCTATATATCTACTGTATATATACTGTAGAAGTCTAAGAGTTGGCACAATAGACCTTTTGACTGCTAAAAAGGGCAAGTACATCTGCTTTACTTTAAGAACAACTTTATTAATGACGAGTTCAAGCAAGTGAAGCTTCAAATAGTTTTCTTTTCTATTGATTTTTTAAATATTAAAAGAGCTACCAATTACTTGAAACAAACTTGATCTGTACCCGATACAGATAAAGATATACAGGTAGCATACAGTCTAACATTCAATTTAAATGAGGTGGTTAAGCTCTTTGTTGATGCTTATCAAGATTATATAAATGAACTTGGTAATAAAGCACATTTAGCATTCAATTGATACAACACGAGTCAATTCAGTTCAGCTGAGAGAAAAGCAAACTTTTTGCCATTTGTAAGTCTAAAACCTGTTAAGATTCGACTCTTGCGTTGATTATTTTAGCTCGATAACAAGGTCCTGTCTGCTAGCTATTGCAGCTAAACTTAAAACTTGGTTGACAAGCCCCAAACTGAATACGAATAGAAAATAAATGTATACGTCTTTTAGGGCTTGGCATATTTCATATATTATTTCATATATTTCAAAATCTCTCTTATACCCACTCCTAATAAATGCAAAAAGACCTGTGTGTACCAAAATTATAAAGCTAAATTTCAGTTAGATCACTGGTGACTCCCCTTGAACCCAAATGGATTTAATTATGAAAAAAGCTTACGTACGCTTGGCTCGTGACTGTGCATTGTGTAATCAGTTGCTACCTGCTTCAATTTCAATTTGGGAATGTACGATTCCACTGTCATTTCGGCTATTTCAAAATTGACTTTGGGTGAATTTGATGTGAATTCCATTTGCAATAGATTTGCAGATCTACATATTAGTCCTTTTACTGCATGTTACAAACAGTGGCATACAATGTGCATACCCCTTCTTCTGCATTTATAATTGGCAGAGACATATGATAACAAAATGAATGGGCTTTGAATGACGTTACAGCAGCCTGGCTTTTGGCTGTTGCGAAACAAACCACCAAAAACTACTCAATTAAAAAGCTTTTATAAGCCGCACACTAACATGGACACACCTTCACAGCCACACACGCCCCCACACACGCACACAATGGCTCGAATATGATGGTTGGCCAAGTTGGTTTGTTTACTTTAACGAAATCAAATTCGTTGAACACAATTAGGGAAATTTGAGTTCTAATTTAAATCAGAGCCAATTAAATATATATATGTATATATGTATAAATATATATATATATATTTATATATATATATATCTGTGTGTGTGTCTGTATATTATGATTGTGTATGCGCTTGATTGAGCTGCACGTTTGAACCGTTGGCCCAATTATGAAATAAGTGGGCAACAGAGAGAAATAGAAAGAGAAAGAAGAAAGAAAAATGTTTGATTTATTTGGGAATTTAGCGGCAATCGCAACTCAAATTAGTGGCAACAAATCGCTTGATTTTATATACTTTAACAATTGAAATTCAAAATTGTAATGTGATTATCGTTATCGCAGCATAATGGACGTAATTATTAAATTGGATTATTGGCAAACAAATAACTGAACAGCTGAACCACTGAACAGCTGAATGTCCACTCGAAGCTGCTTACAAATGTTTGCAGCGCCATTAATTATGGCTCAAAGAGTCTTGCTGGAGCTGTAAATCGTAAATTAAAGTACAAGCACATTTTAATGCTTGTTCAATTAGTTAAGTTTTACGATCGAAACAAGATTTACAACGTTCACATACAAGAGCAGCCCCCGAGGAATGCAAACTATTTGCTCGCTTTCAACTTTAATGAGCCACAAAGGAGACATTGCTTTAGAGCCAAGCAATTCGCTGGGCAATTGCTGACGCTGGGCGACCTTATCAAATCTAATCATCTAACACAATTGCTGAGCCAACAAAAAAAAACAAAAAACAAAAACAAAGTAAGTGAAGATTGAGCAAGCAGCTAAAACAATAATAACAATTCAGCCCAGTCCACAGGCGAGAGCCAACGCGTTGACAATGCAGAGAAAGCCAAACGCCTCGAATATAAACCTCAGACTTTGCAAACAAAACTTATTTGGCCAACTTTGTCTGTGTGTATGTGTGTGTAGCTCAAATGATAGTGAAGAGTGTATGTGTGTGTGTGTGTGGCACACTCGTTTGCCTATAATTAGATGCATGCACAAACTTTGTTCAACTTAATGATGATAGAAAGGAGACGCGCAGCCTCGCAACGTATTTCCAATGGATAAAAGAGAAGAGAAAGGAGCAAAATGAAAAGAAGATAATCTGAGGCTAGTTGATTTTCACACTTACATTGCACTTCTCCTCGTCGAAACGAAACTTGCAATTGTCCCGATCATTACACTTCAAGTCGCTGGATATGCATGTCGCGTCCTCGCAATCGTACTCGTCCTCGGTGCACGCTGTCGAAGATAAGAATTCACAATTAAAACTTGCTTAACTATTGCCAGAGTAAATCACACTTTTTCTACATATATCAGATGAGTTTCATAGACATTTACTATGTGAAAAGGAGGTATACAAAGGTATCCATATAGTATCAAGTTGTAAAGCATATTAAATTGTTCCAGATCTTGCTGTGAGTCTGTCTGTCCGAGTGTAAGTATTTCGTCTCGTTGTTGTTGTAAATGGCTAAGGAAACTAAGTCTTCTACAGCTCAGATATATATATAGAAACTGCTATATATAGCCATTTATTGCTTAGACATGAACATGACACTGCCGCCCACCTTCTGAGCATTGAGGAATTTAAGACAATCATCAAAACGTCAAAAGGAAAATACTTGTCAACTACACGCCATGGGGCACCACAGCTATACAAACAAATAATCTTTATGAAAAGGAATTGAAGGAAAGGAATTTAATAAGAATAAAATGAGTCGTTCTTCAGAGCAACTTTCAGAGTGATCAGGGATCAATATATCTGACATGATGACATATATATAAAAAACGCTGTTTGCCTGCCATCAAGTCTCTAAGCTCTAGCTTCCATAGAGTATAAAGCAAGTGAACAGGCAGACAAATACAGTTTAATAAACTAAGCAAGAGTCTCACAGTCAGTCAGCGAGCCAGTCGTACTCTCACTCACACAAGAAAAACAAATAGACCTAATCTTAAACATAAATCGTCCTGCAGCAACAATAATTGCAGTGCCACGACAATCGCTGAAACTCTCAAACTTCGACTCGAACGACGCTCAAGCTCTTGTTCTGGCTTCTTATGGCATTGGCTTGGCTTAGTTGTCACCTAACATTTAGGTAGCCTTGACGAGAGGCAGAGCGGACAGTCGTTAGCTGTTAACTGGCAGCGAAGAGGGCTTTGCCAAAGTTAACAATGCCTGGCACAAAGGACACTCCTTGAATGACAAAGAAGTGCTTAGCCTTTGGCAACAGGCGGCAATCACGCAAAACTGGGCGACAAACAAACAGTCCATAGACAACAACGAGCCACATAAGTAGTTAGCCAGACACATGGCATAGACAAAGCCGGCCAGACAGACAGTCGGACAGAAAAGTCGGAAAACCTCCGACTGCCAAAAAGCCAACACAAAAGCCGTCGACGTTTGCGGTGCTTGCGGATAGCGTAAGCTTAGCACAGGATTGCCCAGGCTTTTACCCAGACTCACGTCGTGCCGCTTGCTTTGAGACGCTCCCAAATTTGAAGCATTTGCGCCATCAGCCGCATCGGCAGCTCTAGTTAGATTAGATAGAAAAGGATGCACTTACTGCCCGATCCACGATCCCGGAATGCTGTATACAGAATGGCGAACGTTGAATTAATCGCACTTTGCTCCGCGTAAAATCGCATGTGCAGAATGTTTGACTCCGCCGTAATGCTCTCGCCCGCTGATCCGCAAAAGTTTTTCACTCTGCAAAGAAAATGGAATGGAAAGAGCAAAGGAGGGTTTATATTTACACAACATTGGACAACTTATGAATTATGAATGTCTGCCAAGCAGGCACGTGTCTTGCTGTATCTGCAAAGTATATATATATATTAGTAATAGTATTCAGTACGTATGTATGTAGTGCATATTTCGTTAGTATAGCTTATGCTCCTCTCTTCGATAAGAGGCACCCTTCAATGCGCCTTCCGAATTGATTAACAATTGGAGCGTAACACTTAACCAAATCGGATCAAAAAGTCTTTTTAGTACAAATTGTGCGCATAAAGTGTGTCTAGACCACTCATCAGCATGACGTGTCCATGTACTTAAGTTGTTTCAATGCATTTGATATGAATGAGAACGAGCGTGATGTGTGGCCCTAACCAATACGTCTGCTAAATTGTTACGAAAAATGAATTTAAATAGAAATTGTGGCAACGACCAGAGCCAAAAACAATATCAAAGGCCAAAACCAAAACCAAATGGCTAGGGCAATGGCAACCAGCTGAAAAAGCCGGCAGCTGTACACACTTACCGGCAACATGGAGATTCTGTTATTAACTTGAACTGCTGTAAGCTTGCGTGAATTTTTTATCTAAATAGGTAAAGTTAAGCTAAGAATTATAAATAACTTTTTACTCAAGCTTACAGTCTCTGGAGAGAGAGAGAGAGAGAGAGAGAGACAGGAAGAGAAGCTGTTATTAATCTATGCACAAGCGAGTTATCTTCGCCTTGTGTTAGGGTACAACTAGCACCAAATCAATGGCCATAGCCGACGAGACAGGCAGCTTCATCTAGACGGCCAGTCAATCACATTGAGTGGTGCTGCCATTGCCGTTGGTTTTGACGCCCATCAGTGAGCGCACAAAAGCCTGAGCCCGAGAGTTGACTCTAAAATCGAATGGCATTGCAAGTGTTGAAGTTGAACGGGGCGCAAGGGCGCAAGGGAGCGGGAGCAGGCGAGCAAGCAACAAGTGGAAATTTGTTGGCGTGTTGAAAAGGGGCTGAGAGATGTGCCTGAATGGCACATGGCACATGGCACATGCCACATGGTAAATGGCAAATGGTAAATGGTGAATCGCAATGGCTGGGTCGATGGGTTGTCGTCGGCATTCGGTCGGTGGCACAAAACAATTCCAGTTGGGCGAGTCAAAGGCAGCGGCGCCGTCGCCGCAGCCGCAGCCGCAGCCGCAGCGCTTCCGCTGTCATACAATTTACTTGGGCCGGTAATAAATTGAAATTTTGCTTTACATGCTTTGATCTTTACAGCGTTGGAAAACGCTTTTTGGCTCACTTCACATTGTGGCGCATTCGTGAAGCGGAAATTGGTTTGTGGCACTGGGATTGCGTATCCCAGCCCATCTAACTAAGCCAACAGCGCCAATTCGCTGGGATGTCTATTAACTCTTACCTTAATGGCATCACTGTTTGCTCGGGGAATATATCCAAGAAGTTCGTTTCGCAGTCATTCGGCTTGCTTAGATGAAAGTCCAAAAATTTCAAAAATATCTAATAGAAGGAGATACAGATAGAAAGAGAGACAGAGAGAGGGACAGGGTAAGCACACAAATGACAAATTGATATATTTGATTGAAATGGAAACGCACTCACCTTCCAGTTATCCTTCACCTGTATACGCCAAATGCAGTCGAGAGCAATCTTATCGCGTATCACCTGCTCCCTTATTTCAGCTGGAACATCTGTTGAGTTAATGAAGCCCTCGTAGCCATCCTTCTCGATGGTGCAATTGAGATCTGTGCTGGGCGCCTCACGATTTCTATCCAAATACTCAAAGACAGCACTGAAGCCCGTATATTCGATTGTGTCATCCGAGTGGAAGTGCAGCCACAGATATCGCTCCTTCGACGTTATCTCTGGCGGGAAATCGGTGCCGCAGTATTTTCCAATTAGCGTCGAGAAGCCATACTGTCCATCGCGTATCTGCAAAGGGAAACCAGAGTCCACGGCATGATTGACTGGCTGAACAGGAAGAGCAACTTGAAATTTGCTACCTTCAGCGCTGCGCTCGTTAGCAATTTAATTTAATAAAAGTTGGCAGCTCGAACGGCAGCCGGAGCTTGATATTAAATTCTTGTTACGTTAAGTTCGAATTGTGCGCGCAGGTGACAACTGACAACTGTTTCCCAATAAGGCCCATTTAAATGTCAAAGCGAACAGACTTGTCTTTCGACTTAACGAGCCATAAGAAACGAGCAATTGGACCTAATTTTAACTGAATGATTAATCAGGTCAAATTATATTACAATTACCAAGCTTAAGCATAGGCTATGGATAGGCGTTCTTTAAGGCAATTTGCTTGAGATGACAAATATCTGGAAGCTTTCTTTGTGCACTTGGACAGCTAAGAGACAAGCTCCTGTGCCGAAAGTAAGATAAATTTGAAGCTCTTATAGCTTCAGCTGATTCAGCTCATATCCAGAGTCATCTAGTCTGTTGCTTGATTACCTGAGTGGGCTGGCTGTTTGACTAAAAATCAATTTAAACTGTTGAAATCAGAATGAAAATGCTTCGTCATGCGGCTAGATGTGTGACAAAGTTCCCACGCCTTAATTAGCTCAGCTCATGTAAGCCGCATGATTAGGCAAAAATTGGCTCTTGAGTGGTTCAATTTGTTCATAAATCTGAAATGTGTGAGGCGTAGCGCAAATCATATTTCAATTACCGTTTTTTCTCACTGACTGAGCTAGCTGAGAGGAACTAATTAAAATTATATTCCAATTAACAGCAGCTGGCACAGTTTGCATGCAGATCTGTGCGCTTGAAGTTTGACAGTGGCTTTTGAGATAAAGTTTTTGTTGTTGCGAAATTCCCCGTTTGCAACATGATGAGAGCACACATACGACACGTGAGCCGCTGCCGTAATGTTAACTTTCAATTAGGACAACGGAGTGAGCGCATGTAAATACGCAAGGCCAAAGGATTTGTCTGCCAAACACACACTCGCAGCTGCAGAGTCAACAATTTGCCAAGTTTTTTTTTTTTTTTTTGCTCAGCAAAGGGAGCAAGCTTCTTATGTCAGCAACAACATTGCATTTGTTATGCAAATGCACCATTTTTGTTATCCTTGCACTTGCTTACCTCGAGAAAATCAAATTTGCACTCTTCCTTGGCCTCAATATTGAACGAGTTGCGAAAGTCCAGCCGAATAATTTGTCCCTTCGGCGCTGTAATTAGATTAATCAGTTTACGAGTTTAGCTATATATATCTATATATGTGTGTTTGTGTGTGTGTGTGTACATTTGGCTAAAATATCGATCCAATATCAATCAGATTAAGGCTTATGTTACCACGTTGGCTCAACAGCCTCACAGTCTATAAATATTTACAATAAAACATAGCTCACGGCTGAGTTTTAACACTGCATAACAAAAGCTCTACGGCTATGCAGATTTAAATGGCACTCGCAGCTTGAAGAGAAGCTGAGAAATATTCACAAACAAATGTTTACTGAGCTCTTAATTGTATTCAGCTTTTGTCTTGATGCTAACTTGAACTACTGAGAGCAATGGACAAGTATTCAGAGTTTGTTAGTAATTTCTTTACTTTATAGCAATCATTGACAGACTGTCATCCATTGACTTCATTCCATGCAGCAATATCTTTACAATCAATAGCAAGCATATTTTATTTAAATTTCTCTTTAATTTAGCAAAAATTTCAACTCAATTTCTTAATAAATTTTCCATATTTAAATACTTCTCACTTCATTCATCAACTTGTCAGAACAAATTCCAAATGTAAATGGAAATTTGCATTGCTTAAATACTTTTGATCCAAATACATTTGAATTAATTTGCCTAAATTGTTGTCCTTTGGGCCAATTGAGCGCACAGCAACAAAAATTGTCTTTTGTGAAACATTAAAGAAACTGTGCATCATGTAAATAGTATTCATGTCACTGGTCCTTGTCAAAAAACTAGCTCGGAAAGCAGGTTAAAATATTTTGATCTAAGAGGTCTTCAAGTAGAAGCGGACAATATGTGTCTGCTGCAGATGAGCTAAAGGGCTGATAACGACTCTGAGCACGCTTCAATGGACAGTTATATAAGACTTGAAAAGGCGCACAGAAACACGCACACACACACACGCGCAGACTGACATAATAGCCTATAAAAGAGAGCTGCAGCGGCGAGCTAGCCTAGTCTAGGCTGTTCTTTGGCCCAGCCAAACACACACACACACACACACAACATAATGGAACTGTAATGAAAGTGTAAATCACAGAGGTTTGGCCAAACAAATGCGATGTTTGTGTGCTCACATTGAATGCGAATGGGGATTTGCTTACTGATTGGCCTTGATACAGGCACACAGGCTGAGAGAAACCGAAATGAAAGGAAGCGGCTAGCTCAGACTCCGCACCTCTTGCGACCCCCTCATGTGAGCTGGCATAGTAATTTGGGGCTTTTGAATAGCATCTGCTCAAACAAATTGCAGACCCAATGAAAAACTAACCACAAAGTTGCCGTTAGCCAATTGATAGACAAAGGCGAACACATTCTAATTTTGTTTGCCTCTAAAATTATTATTTGTGCGTAACTATGTGTATGCAGCTATGTACGAAGACGTGTATGTTGAGGCTAAGCCTCGACCGACAATGCACCTGAGGTAATTCTTTGCCTCGGCTTGCCAATTGAACATGTCTAAGGTGGGCTTAGCACGATAACTAAAACTCTGTGCCGAGCTCTCTCTCTCTCTCTCCATCTCTATAGATACACATGTGCTGTGCTTCTGCCTCCTTAATACCTTGACAAATGCGATTTTGATTAACTTTGGTGTCTATACAACTATAACTTAAAATGCATTAAAAGCGGGAATGGCTGGTCAAAGGATATAACTGGCTATACCTTCTTTAAAGCTCTAAGCCAGCTTGAACAGGTTAGCCTTTGGCAACTTGAATTGATTATTATCGAGTATATAAAGGGGCAAAGGGGTTATCGATAGACAGTCGTATACAAGCCTTGATTGCTTCAGCTGCTGATATTACTCAATAATACTTTATATATATATGGCTGAGACTTGTATACATCTATATTTCACATGATTTAATCTCTTTTTATGGCACTGTTAATTGAATTTTGAGCCAAGTGAATGACAAACTTTCATATGCATTAATATCAATTTATATTGAATTTTCCGTTTATTGGTTTATTCCTACTTCAAATGAAAATTTCATTGCTTAATTTAAATAGTATTTAGTAGGAATTATTGATGCTACTATATTTGCAGCTGGGACTTATTAGGATAACTAAATTAACAGCAATTGACTTACACAACTGAGAAGTTGTCAGGGACCAGCATCCCACACACACACACGAGACCAGAGGGAATGACAGTGAAATATATATAGATATATATATATATATGTATTTACATATATTTATTGCGCACGTTCGCTACTAATGCAGCCGCTTAACAGTTTGAGAGCCTAGCATTAGGCAACAGCCAGAAGGCAACATGTCCTACTCCCAATCGGGCCGAGCTACACAGACACGCAGCCAGCGTCTGTGGCCCGACCGCACTCATATTGTTATGCAAATAAGCCTGCCAGTCCCTATGGCAGTCGGTCTATCTTTCCATCTATCTATCTTTCTAGCCTGTCTGTCTTAGCTAACGCACACACACACACACACACATACGCTCATGTATATGGACACACACACACTGCAGACACTGCGAATCGGCTCTGATGTTGGCATTCGCTGATGCGTGCCTATGGAAAGTCAATCATTTCATACGCTTTAGGTTTTATCTGTGCTGCTCGACTTGCAGTCATGTTGTTGTTCGCATTTTGTGTTAACTGACAAATGAATTTGGCCCTGTTTACAGATAAGCGCCAGGCCAAAACCCACTGAAGCGCAACGGCAGCAAATATGATGACTGCCAAGCCCCAGCCAAAGCTAAAGCCAAAAGCCCCTTACATGAATCCCCCACCCAACCCACTGCCGCCATCTAAAAGCAGAAACTGAAATCAAATCTCTGCGTCAATTCAAAACGCATTTGGAGGCCGTCAGGCTAACACGCCAACGCTTTTAATAGCAATAGTGCAGCATCTACTTCAATCTATTTAGCTGACTTACTCACTGAGTGACTGGCTGAACTAACTGACATCTGAAATGTCAACACAATGGCAGCTGCTTCACAAAGACTTGCAATTATTTGCAGTAAGTAGCGCGCCGGCAGCAAAGTGCTTGCCATATAAACTTTTACGAGTCTCTCACACTCCCACCACTCGCTACACACACACATGCCACAGCAACTTGGCCGTGAATTGGCTGGCATCAAGCAAAGCCAAGCCAAGCCATTGCCTGCAGCCTGCAGCCTGCTCAAAAGTCTACTCAAGTCGGACGAATGATTATTCAATAAAACTCTTCACTTATTATCATATCAAATATGTATTCACTTGCCAAAGACCTTTGCCTTTTGCTACATAGTTTACAGCCATAATGAATGCATTAAATTGTGCATTACTCAATTCATTCACATAACTCATTTATTCATTTATCTTTTAATAAATACACAGCTATGAATCATTTACCAAAATGATATGTAAACAAGCCAAGCACAGTACAGTCGACTGCTTAATGCTCGCTCATTGAATGAAGAGAGTCTAGGGATAGACTTACAGTTCTAGCTGCTGAGATGCTGTGAGATGTGAATCTATATAATCAGAAGATGCTATAGATGAGTATATACATATATATAATATAATATATATTAATACTCAATTCAAATTAGCTCAAGTCCCAAGACCTTAAGGCTGTCTGCCAGCAAAAAGAAGGTGAAAGATGAAAGCCAATATACTCTTTTGTACTGCATGAACAAGCATATACATAAATATATATATATATATATGCTATATATATGTATATATATACACCTTGCAGTTATCTCCTGAACCACTTCAAGTGCAGGCAATGACTTGAATTGTTCAATTGTCAATTGCCTGTTTATCAAATCAAAGTTGAAGCGAATTTCTGCCTAATTGTATTAGTTGAATGAGATATTATTAGATATGCGGCAAATTTGAGTGCATTTGATGACACCTGTCTCTTGCCACTCACCTGTTATCACACGCGTGCAGTTAATGTTCTTTGGATAGAGATTGGGATATTCCGGGCTGTAGAGCTCGTTCTTGGTGGGATCGCCTTCAACGAAGAGACGACAGCGGTCCACTTGATCCTCCTCCGCTTGTCGCCTGTAGCGATCCGCTACGGTCAGCGCCCGTTCTTGTTGGCTTGTGGGCGTGGCGAATGTGGTGCTGTTGCCGATGGCGATGGTGCTGATGCTGCTGGGCTGAATTGTCAGCGATTTCGTGCGCTCGAATTGTGTGGACACGTCTACGTTGGCTGCGGGAGTAGAGTAAGAGAAGCAAAAACAAGGCTTAGAGTTTATTGTGAGGATTTATCAATGCACGCACATCCGCATATTTCCATAACATTTACGGGTAATATTATCATAAAAATAATCGTGCGCATTAAAATTTATGCGAGCGTCGCGTTGGCTTCAGCTTTTCTTCTTCTTTTTTAATATATTTTTTTTTTATTAATAATGCACATAACTTTTGCTGGTGCTGTGAATAAATCAACTTTTTGCTGCACTTTTTTGCATCAGTTGCAAACTTTACGCACTTGTTACGGTAAACAGGAATTACTGCCCCAACCACCCACCCACCCAGCCACCTCTCACAGAACAACCCATGCGTCGCCCCAAAAAGTAGGCAATGCACAAGTTTTTCTCTCATTTTTTTTTGTTTGCTTGTTTTTAAAGCCTGAACGCTTTCAATTCGCAACTCTGAGTCGTAGTCGTGCACTCTGGCGCACTTGTATAAGTCTATTTGAACTGTCGGCGCAAGCAGCAGCAGTTAGTGCAGCTGCAACGCAACAGTAACTGCGTCTAAACAACAATCGTTAAGCCTCTGTAAAGTGGCCCAAAGCACATTCATGCCCGTTACAGCATGTGTGCATATATATATAAGTAAGCAAGTGTTTGTGTGCGTGTGTCTAGAGCACTTTTTGCCAGGGCATTGCCATTTGCTAAACAAGTTTTCAAACAAAGCCAAGTCGCCTCTCAGTTGCTCTAGCGGGCATACAGAGCAAGCAAATAGCTAAACAGTTATATATAAGCTATGTAATATGAATATATATATATATAACAATAGCTCAGACTCAGCTCCAACTAATCATGTGTAGTAACATCGATGCTACTCTGCAAACTATTGCTCTAGATATGAATATCAAATTCAAATTTAATTTCATATTATTTTAACAGTTTCCAAAATGTTTTTAATGTAAAAAAATACTTTCAAAAATAAACCAAAAAAAAATATAATAATAAATATGTAATTTAATTCTAAAGTTACTTTAATTAATTTTTAATTAAAAACTTAATCGAGTTTTTTTCAGATATTCAATATCAGATTCAGCTGCTATGCAGAGCTGCTAGCATGTGCGGCTGTGTGTGTGTGTGTGTGTGTGCAAGTGTTTATAGCTTCTTTTGCTTTTAGCAAGTGTTACATGTATTTGCGAAAAGTTTGAATTACCTCAGTATACGTCTTATGAGGCGTAGAGTATTAACGCTCAATGGCAAGCAAGCACACAGCCATGTGTGCGAGAGTGTGTGTGTGTGTGCGTGTGTGTGTTTGCGATTGCCAAAGTGTTTGTGCCGCATTATATGGCTGCTAGTGCCTAATGATGTAGCAACAAATTTAATAAACATATTAAGTGTTGATGTTTTTGTAATCGCACTGGCGCCTCCATCCGCTGCTGTTACCTAGTTTTTGCTCTAGCTTCAATGTTATTGCTCTCTGCGCCACATGTGCCCTGATAGAGTCTATGTGTGTGTGTGTGTTGGCATCCATTTGCCGTATGTCAAAGCTGCTTATTTCCTGCTACGGCTGCTGCTGCCGTGTTGTCGTGTTGCTGGCATCGTGCGACAATTTGCAACATAAATTTAATTAAATGCAAATTAATTTTAACAACATTATTTTCTACAGTTTCATATTGCCATTATGCTCACATATTGTGCATATATATATGTATATATTTAGAGAGGATATAAATCAGCCAAAACAAAACTAGTTCAATTTAACGAGCTGCTCTAAAACTTTCCAATTAAACACATGCCGTGTCCTAAAATCATATGCTTGAGCCTATTTTAATTTTATTAATGTCATGCCTGTGTTTGTGTGTGTGTTGTAATTGAGATAACCAACAATGTTGCCATCTTTGCCTTTGATGTGGCTAATGTCTCGCTTATTTGCGCTTTGCAAAGTTAATATGGTTGATGAGCTTCGCTGCATTCTAAAGCCAAGCTACGAACAATGTCCAATTGAGTAGTGGACGGAATCCAAAATGTTAATAATGATTATGTTAGGCATACGTTTTCAATGCATGGACATGCACTTTGATATATTACATAGCTTATTTCGAAGCTGACTGCATGGCAATATGCTTGGTAGACCACATCACTCAGTGCTTAGCTTCTCGAATGTTGACCGCCAGCTGTGGCAATGCAATTGACTTGGCTTTGCCTGAGAGGTGTTGATCAATGAATACGTAAGACATAAGATTTTGAGAATTGCATAGCAGGGTGTACGTTCCTTCAATGCAATACTAAAACTTCTAACTCTTAACCTCCTTCTCCCATCTATGATTATGCGCAAGCAAAATAAATTGAGCTCTTGCTCATATTTTGTCGTATCAAACCCTAGTTGAAGCCAACATAAAGTCGACTTGACTGCCAATTGCTGAAGTCTTTATCACAATCTTAAGAAACTCGCTCAATTTGTATACAACTTATTTATGTATATAACTTTTAATTACTTATATCATGCCCAGCCCCAGCTGGCCGCCCGCTTCGTTCGCATTTATTGGAGCTGACAACTTTCGTTAAGCAAGAGCTCGGCGTAAGTTTCGCCCGCTCATTGGCAGGCTCAATGTTTGCATTGAGGCGAGAACTGGAACTGTAACTGGGCCAGGGCAGGGGAATGGCGTCGGGAGTGGAACTTCTTGTCCTTTTCTGGGTCCGCACTTTCGCTCAGTTTGTGTCTTTAATTGCGCTTTTAAGAGTGAGTGATTGTATTGACACTTGCAGGTTGGCTGCTCTGCCACTTTATTGAATTGCCAGCGCGGTGGGCGAGGTGGAAGGGGGGCGTGGTGGTGCTGAGCAGGTGGCGATGCGAGAAGCCCATTTACCACTATGTCACGGCAGCTTAGCAAATGTATCTCTCTCTCTCTAAGTGTGTGTGTGCGGCAAGTCTGGGTCGCATAATTGTAAATTTAACACGCATTCCCTGCTAATGCTGGCCCACCCCCGCAATCCCTTTTAGCTGTCGCTATGCCTTCCCTTGAAATGCCACACACATTGTCGTGGCCTCGTTATTGCCGCACAGCAGCTGCGCTTGTTCACACTTTTGTTTTAGTTGTAATACCCTTGTCGATCTGCTTTTGCGCCCATAAGTTTAACTTTTAACTTTTGGTATCCACACACACACACACATACAGACATACACTTGGTTCAGCCGCGCTCAGCCGCTGTTCATTTATATTCATATTTGCATATGTGTGCTGGCTGTGTGTGTATCTTAGCCCAGCCACGCCCCCACAGCCGCCTGTGCCGCTGGCATCTGCATGTATCGCCATCGCTGTCGTCATTTTTGCTGTTGCTGTTGCTGTTGCTGTTGTCTTATGTATTTCATTCGCAGCAGTTATTTGCTTTAATACACTCAATAGACTTAACACATTTTGCACGCCTCACTTCATCCGGAGGCGGTGGTGACAGCGGCAAACATCGCCACCGCCGTTCAGCCACAACGCACCACCCACTGTTCTGTAGTTTTCTGCAATAAATTTTGCATTTTGCTTGCAGCGTCGGCGACAGTAACGCAGCGAGCTAGACAGAGAGAGCGACACCCATGGGCGAGTGGGCGAGACTGAGGCTGGCTAAGGCTTTGGCATTGCTTTGCCTGCGACATTCCATTCCATTCCATTCCATTTTTGTGTCAGACAGCTCCAACTCCAGCTTATGTATTCGAGCTGTACTCTGTGGATGTATTTCGCTCTCCAGCCCCGCTTCGGTTACTGTGACTTGTCTGTGACTGTGCATATTTATAGTTTGTATTGTCTGCTGCTGCCGTCGACGCTATTATCCAAAAAAAAAAGCAGCAAGAAAAAGCGGAAACTCTTACGCGAAGAGCCGAACATTTTATATGCTTGCCAAGGCGGATCTCATATGATATATGGAATGAAGGCTGTCCAGACTCAAGTCTCTACTTCATCTTATTCAATACGTTTCATAGCGCATCATTTGTATATTTATATACATATATTTATATATATATATAGAGTATTATTGATGTCGGTGAACACTGCAATTAAGTCTTCTTTAAATTTGCTGAGCACTTTAGACAACAAAACAAGTTGAAGCACTCATCTTTTGGCTACCTTTCCAAATTTCATAATAAATTCATTCGAGAATCTCTTCTCTACTCCACTAAAATTTGCTTGAAAATGTTCTTGAATTTTATGCATTCTTCTTAAATATTCTGGACATTCTTAATATGCGAAGGAAAAATTATTGCAGTTGCCATGTTTTTTCCTAGTAAATGTTTGCAAATGCAACATTCAACGGTCAGCTGGCTGTGGCTTTGCAACTCGGCAAAAAGCAAAAAGATTTCACTGCGTTGCCATTTGCATTGGCCAAACAACATGTGAGAGGATCCTACTCTGAATGCCTTGTCATAATTTACTAATTGGTTAAGCTGCAGCAAGTTGTTTAGCAACTGCTCGGAGTCTGGATGCTCTTAAATAAATTACACACTAATGCATATGCGTTTATTGTGTTTATGATGATGACATTTCAGTTGGATTGCATTAAGGCGTTAAGCAGCTTATGCAATGCCAACTCGAATAATTGATTCTATTATTCAATTTTACACAAGAAAAGCGCCCAAAAGTTAACTAGCTGGGTTCAAAGAGTGAGAGAGCGAGAGAGAAAATGTGGGAGAGAGAGCGAGAGAGAATATGTGGGGGAGAGAGAGACAGAGAAAGAGCCTGGAGAGTCATCTCAACGTGCACATTCTTGCTAGCAGACTCAGATTCCAGTCTGCATATTGCGTATACGCCCGGTTGTCGTGCAGTTTGATGGATTTGCCACTGCTTGAGTGGAAACCCCAATTTGGACCACATTTGAGTTTGATGTTTGGCATTTGCTGCGGAATGGGCCAACACGTTGCGGTTGAGTGAACGTAGCACTCTGCCACATAAATCATAAAAATTTGACAAAATTTCACCGTTGATTGATAACAAAGAATTTTCCTTAAGCTGTCAGGCAAATGAGTTTTCCAAGA